AGCATGCAAGTTATGAGAGGTGATAATATCACTCTACTCGGCTCTGGTTAGGCCTCAGCTGGAATATGGTGTCCAATTTTGGTCACAAATTTGTAGAAAGGATGTGGAGAAACTGGAAAGAATTCAAAGGCAAGGAACAAAGATGATCAAAGGGATGGAATGCAAGCCATATGAGCAAAGGCTGAAGGAACTGATATGTTTTGTTTGGAAAAGAGGAGATTGAGGGGGGACATGACAGTGGTCTTCAAATACTTGAAAGGCTGCCATAAAAAAAGATGGAGAAAAGTTGTTCTCTCTTGCCACAGAACGCAGGACAAGAGGCAATGGGTTCAAACTACTACATAGCAGATTTAGATTAAATCTCAGGAAAAGCTTCCTAACTGTAAGAACAGATTGCATAGGGAGGTGGTAAAAGCTCCTTCACTGGAGGTTTTCAAAAGGAGGCTGGATACCCATCTGTTTTGGATGGTTTAGACACAACAAATCCTGCATCTTTGCAGGGGGTTGGACTAGATGACCCTTGCTTTCCCTTCTAACTCTATGATTTTATGGTCCCCAGCCTCCACCATAGGCTGCTGAGTCCCACCCACAGGAGTGAATGATACACTGGAAGTTCCTTGGTCTGAAGGTGACAGGAAATTTTGGCCCTCCTGTAGGTTTTTAAAGAGAAGAATAATTGGGCCTTATGTGTTAAGAGGGGTCACGAAAACAATTTGTGTTTAAATCAAATCTTTGTTTTGAGCCCAGTTTGGCTACAACCAATGAGGGCATGTATATTTCTGATTATGGTAGGATTATGTGACTCTTCCCTGAATAAGGATGAAATGAAGGTATTTGTAATTATCCTGCCTGTAGTAGGGGAAAAAGACTTCAGTGCATAATGATGTTCTCAGTCATTTTGAGAAAGATACAAATATCTACTCATCAGGGGTAAAATTTTCAAAGGTGCACAAGTGACTAGGAGCCTAAATCCCATTGAAAGCCTATTGAAATTAAGTCTCTCAAGTTGACTTTCAGTGGCTTCTAAATCATAAGAACATAAGAACGGCCGTACCGGGTCAGACCAAAGGTCCATCTAGCCCAGTATCCTGTCTACCGACAGTGTCCAATGCCAGGTGCCCCAGAGGGAGTGTACCGACAGGCACTGATCAAGTGATCTCTCTCCTGCCATCCATCTCCATCTTCTGACAAACAGAGGCTAGGGACACCTTCCTTATCCATCCTGGCTAATAGCCATTAATGGACTTAACCACCATGAATTTATCCAGTTCTCTTTTAAACGCTGTTATAGTCCTAGCCTTCACAACCTTCTCAGGTAAGGAGTTCCACAAGTTGACTGTGCGCTGCGTGAAGAAGAACTTCCTTGTATTTGTTTTAAACCTGCTGCCTATTAATTTCATTTGGTGACCCCTAGTTCTTGTATTATGGGAATAAGTAAATAACTTTTCCTTATCCACTTTCTCCACATCACTCATGATTTTATATACCTCTATCATATCCCCCCTTAGTCTCCTCTTTTCCAAGCTGAAGAGTCCTAGCCTCTTTACTCTCTCCTCATATGGGACCCGTTCCAAACCCCTAATCATTTTAGTTGCCCTTTTCTGAACCTTTTCTAGTGCCAGTATATCTTTTTTTAGACGAGAAGACCACATCGCAGTATTCGAGATGTGGGCGTACCATCGATTTATATAAGGGGAATAATATATTCTCAGTCTTATTCTCTATCCCCTTTTTAATGATCCCTAACATCCTGTTTGCTTTTTTGACCGCCTCTGCACACTGCGCGGACATCTTCAGAGAACTATCCACGATGACTCCAAGATCTTTTTCCTGACTTCTTGTAGCTAAATTAGCCCCCATCATATTGTATGTATAGTTGGGGTTATTTTTTCCAATGTGCATTACTTTACATTTATCCACATTAAATTTCATTTGCCATTTTGTTGCCCAATCACTTAGTTTTGTGAGATCTTTTTGAAGTTCATCACAGTCTGCTTCGGTCTTAACTATCTTGAGCAGTTTAGTATCATCTGCAAACTTTGCCACCTCACTGTTTACCCCTTTCTCCAGATCATTTATAAATAAGTTGAATAGGATTGGTCCGAGGACTAACCCTTGGGGAACACCACGAGTTACCCCTCTCCATTCTGAGAATTTACCATTAATTCCTACCCTTTGTTCCCGGTCTTTTAACCAGTTCTCAATCCATGAAAGGACCTTCCCTTTTATCCCATGACAACTTAATTTACGTAAGAGCCCTTGCAAATTTTACCCCACTAATCCAGTCCCTGGAGCCTTAATCCCACCTGTCCTCCAAGAAGAGAACTTTTTTAGGTGTTTTTGTTTTTTGGAAAAGAAATCCAGTGAAATTCACCCTACTGTACAGGAAGTCTCCTTGGAATTCTGAGGGTTCAGGGCTGTATGTGTTTTAACATTCTATATAGTGAATAGTTGTATACCTTTGTAATTTAAAAAAAATGAAGTTTAATGACCCCTCGCCTATAAACCCCAGACTGCTGCAGCACAGATATAAGAAAGTGAGGACAGACAATGCCAGGTGCAGCCAGCACACTGCTGCAGCCACACAACATGTCATTTTTATAAACATTCAAATTAGCTTCAGCACTCGTAATTCTATTGTTTCCTTTATTGCTGTTGTAAAGCAAATGGTTCTTTTATACAAATGTTATCTCCTGCCTATTAATCCAGTTATAGATTATGGCACTCCTGTTAAATTTAGGGATGTAAAGTCTCATAAATATTTAGAAGTTTAAGACTGATATGGGAAGAAATTTCCTTTGATTTGCTTTGTTATAGATTTGGAATATATCATTGCTACTCTGTTCCTTGGCAAAGAGAGAAGAAAATGATGATAGTGTATTTGAGCTACAGCATCAAATATCTCCCTTTGAATTAGAGTTGTCTGGACAATGCATCTTTCCTGCGAAAGATTGCAATTTTTTCCCCCAAAAATTGTCTTTGAAATTTTTCCACAGATTTTTTTTGGCTTTTCAACATAAACTCAAAAATGTAAGACAAAAAGTGAAAAATTTTCCAGCAACATTTCTTGTTGTCACATTTTTTGGTGAAAAAATTTCAGCCAGCTCTACTTCTAACATAGCTCTTTTGTTGCCAGCACTTTTGAAGTTCATGCCAATAAACTTCCTTATAACGTTCAGCTCCAAAAAGGCCCAGATATATTGCTTCCAGCAGCATTTTGCAAAGAGTGCATTTATCACAAATAATGCATGTATTAATGGAGGAATGAAACTCCACATACATCGCAAACAGCCTGATGAAGCTTTGAAGAGTGAGTGAACCATAAGAAGCTCTGCCATTGTCTAGTAGCTCCCTGAAATTCAGCATAGCAGAGACTTAGCAGTTATGACCCAGTTTCACATCTACAGAGACAAGGTGGGTGAGGTGATATCTTTTATTGGACCAATTTCTATTGGTGAGAGAGACAAGCTTTCAAGCTTACACAGCTTGTCTCTCTCATCAACAGAAGTTGGTCCAATAAAAGATATTACCTCACCTACCTTGTTTCTCCAATATCCTGGGACTGACATGGCTACAACAACAAGTCATATTTCACATCTACAGCATTTTAGAATAATTGTCATTTTCTCTACCTAAAAAATGATTTTAGTGCTTATTAGCCAAATCAGAAGAGATGTCAGGCATCTATAACTCTCATTGATATAAAATGGGAGGTGTTCTGAAGCTTTCAGGATTTGCTCCTATGGAAGATGCTAAACTGATGAAAACTGAAGTCCTGTGTTTCCAGAGCATAGATAGCTGAGGCAATAGCAAAGCCAGCTTCCCCACATGTATCCTGCAAAAGTTCAACCATGTCCTGGAAAGGTCGTTCAGTTTCCCTTGCCAATTCACTTCTAGATTGGTGAACCCCTTTCAGCTAGCAGTGGTCATGGTGATTTTTTGTGCTACTGATGCCCCTCCATTAGATATGGAATTAAAAATAACTTTTAGTTGGCCATTAACCTGCCACTTTAACATTCCAACATTTGTACTGTATTGTGGCAAGTTCACGCCATCTCGTATTGTGTGGTGGGGTTGAAGTAGCTTGAGCCTAGTGTAAAGTCATTAACAGGCACTTGTGTTTAAGAAAAGGTTTTGTGTGTTGCTGACACTCCAGGTTTATGACCAATGAGTTTTCAAAAATGGAGATGTAAGATTGAAACATACACTTTTTTTTAAAATCACCAAAAAAAAAAAATGTGACTGCGTGGGCAAATCAGGTACTTGTGTGCAAATGGCTAGTTAGCTGCCACACTAGCTGTGTACATATACATTTAACTGATTTGGGTGCACAAATGCAATAATTGCAGAGAGAATAGTGTGCACTGTTGTACTATTTTGCATAAAAAACTCACTCTTCCTTTTTTTTTTTTAAAAAAGAGACAATATAGTGTTATATTTACAAAAAGCAAAATGTATTTATAAAATGAACTGAATGCTCCAAACAACTTTGTTTAAATGTGAAAAATATTTACACTAGGAATATCTTGTTTTACCCTTGTATTACCCTATTATGTATATAACAGCAGACAATTGTACAACTACAGGCTGTAAGGAAATTTGGCTAGAGAAACTCTGCAGGATGGTGTATTTACTTCTCCATTTCTGAAAGGTAGCAGTTAAAATTCACAGGTGCTGGCTGTCCAGATGTTTGTTGCATTTGACCATTGTAATTTGCACTAGAATATACTGTGTTGCTATAATAGCTGTAAAGAGGATAGCTATTATAGTCTATATTCTACATATGGGCTCCAGTATTGATAGTAAGCATATTTCCTACTCAGATTAGATTTTTTCCCCTTATTTGTTTAGGGCAACAAAAGTTCAAGTTGAATTTTAGATCTAGTAGAGTGTATTTGCAGGTCAGGCTTGACTTATAATAAATTTGTCCTAAGAATCAGACAAAGGAAAAAACCCTGAATTTTGAACAAAAAGTTTCCCTTTCTCTTTATCATTTCTAGGGAGCAAACATACCACTGGTGTCAGAGCTTGGCATTGACGATATCCATTTTGATGACTTTTCACTCGATGTGGATGCCATGATTACTGCAGCCCTCCGGATGTTCATGGAACTTGGAATGGTTCAGAAATTTAAAATTGACTATGAGGTAACCATCTGCTCTATAAAGATATCTGCCACTTTGTCTTGGCAGTGCTATACCCATTTGTACACATTTAGTAGCCCTGATACAATTTGTACTTTTCATTTCAGACACTGTGTAGGTGGCTTTTGACAGTTAGGAAGAATTATCGAATGGTTCTGTATCACAACTGGAGGCATGCTTTCAATGTGTGCCAGCTAATGTTTGCAATGTTAACTGTAAGTATTCCACGAAAGGGACAGGCCTCATAAGAGCTTTTATCATCACATTGTCTTAAACATCTTTTCCAACATTCGTTTTTTTGTTATTATATTTATTTATTTTATAGCAATGTATAAGAAATCAGAGTATCCTAATTATGGGAGCACAATTTTGGCAACATCTTATAGAGTTTTAGCAACAGTGATATCGCAGGTACATTAAAATGACTAATAATTAACAGATGACAACCTTGGAGTTGGGAGCTTATTAGAGATTTTGATCTTACCATGTCTTCCTTTTTTGAAAATCTTTGATTTTGCATTTATTTCTGCATGTGAAAATGGAGGTCATAAAAACCTGAGAGTGTAGAATCCTATCAGCAGAGTTATTTGTTGTGATGATACTTATCGGCTACTTCCCTAGCTTCATCTAAATAGATATTCGAGATATTGCCTTATACACCATTTAAAAATGGGTTTCCTTAGAGAGGATCCGAATAGGTTCTGCAGCCTCTGCATATTGTTTTCTGCTATTCATGAAAGAGATCCATCAAAGGGTCTAACATTCTCTCTGCATATAAAGTACTCCTAATGATGCCCATAGTCCTCCCCCCCACCACCAAATGCCTCACCACTGGATCCGGGTCAGGGAGAGCTGCGCTGGCAGCTGCGGGGAGCCTGGGTCCCTCCACCTGCCTTGTGGTGGTGGTGGGGGAGGAGGCGCTGGGACACTGGGTGGGGGGTTGCTTGGGCCCCCCTCCCAGGGCAGGTAGAGGGTCCATCATGGCTTCCCACAGCTGCCAGTGCAGCTCTCCCAGACATGGCTCCAGCTGGGGAGGGGGCGGCTCAGAGCCGCAGCCTGGCCACGGTAAGAGCCAGGCGGGCAGTTGTGGGGAACTGCCCTGGGTGGGGGGCCCGAGCAACCCCCAGGCAGCTCCACAGGTCTCCCCTCCTTCCCCCCCCCCCCCCCCTGGCCAGCCCGGAGCCCCCCCCCGGAGCGGTGGGGGGCCGCAGCGGACCCTCCACCTGCCGCGGTGTGTGTGTGTGGGGGGCTGAGAGCAGCCGCCAGCCGTGTGCCTGACCCCTAGGCTCCCCGCCCGGCCAAGGGCACGTGGAGGGTCCGCGACTCCGCACAGGCTCCCCACAGCTGCCCATGTGGCTTTCCTCGACTGGGCTCCAGCGGGGAGCATGCCTTGGAGCCTCAGCCTGGCCCCCAGCATAGAGCCCTGCAAATCCACAGATATCTGCGATTGTCCGCAAAAATTATCTGCGGCTCAGATACGGATACACATTTGTGTAGCTGCACAGGGCTCTAGAGAGAAGGATTGTAGCTCTAGTTATTTTTCTGTATTGCTCTCCTTTTAAACTACAGATGGCCTAAGTCAAAATCGCAAATCCCTTCATTTCAGGAGAATACAGTTTGTATTCCTGGATCCAAACTTGCTCTTAAGATTTGTGGTTAGAACCAAAACTGGAAGGGGCTTACTTTCTGGTTGAGATGCATCTGAAACCTTGGTAAAAACAGCTGTTTGAGAGATTTCAGCCCTTGATAGTAGAAAGTTTTGAGAACAGATGCAAGATCCCTACTGTTCAAAGCAGTAGAAACTGATCCACCATGAGATTTGCACTGTTTGAAGCTAAAATTTAACAGGTTGTGGGATTTAACTCCCAAAACTGAACATGAACCCTGATTCAGCCTCAAACTTGAGCGTAAATCTAATCTGGATCCAAACACAGCCTCATTGGTTTATCTCGAGCCTTAAGAGAGGGTCCTGCAGTATAGTGTTTGTGCAAACATTTCCTCATATGTAGTTTGAAAGACGACTGTGAAAAGTTGTTAAAGGGTTAAAAGGTTTAAACATGAAGTGCCTTGAGGTATAAAGGGTGAATAGCTTTAAAGATTTGCCTTAGGCACATGGCACGACTCACATTTATAAGCCATACCCATAGCTAGAGAGTTGCCTAATAACAAGTTTCATTTATCGTTTTCCAAAGGTTTGCCTGTCCCTAGCATACATCTATCCAAAACAATAAACATGTGAGATGCTGCACATATCTTGGCAAAACAACCTGTGTTCACTCCATGAATATTTGCATTTGAAATTGTATATCTTCACATTTACAAACCTATTCTGGGGCAAAATTGTTGTTGTTTGTGGCAACAAACGCAGCTCTCTGCAGAAAAAGTGATAAATGTCTATCTTCTGGCAAAACTGATTTTTCCACAGTGAATGACAATTTTACTGCTTCTTTTCTTATCAAAAATGTAAAGAAACTGACATTTTTTAAGCTTTCTCCCCACAAACTTGTGAACTTTTTTTTTCCAGTTCTGCTGTTTTTCAATTTGTTTTTTAACAAAGCCATAATTTGGGAAGCAATACTCAAATATTATTGAGCAGATAATACAATAACTGGGGTGCCAAAGCGACTTGCTTTATCCAACTGGATTCAGATTAATCACTGAAAAATCAAACCCAAAGTGTCTTGGTTGGATACCCGGAAATTGCTGCGCCTAAAAGCCCAGGCCACTGTTGAAAATGCTGGCCTGTTTACTTTCCCAAGGTCATAACAGGAAGCCTGTGACTGACATGTGCAGAAAGAGAACCCAACAGTTCTGAATCACTGCCCTGTGGCTTAGCCACAACAGCATCCATCCCTTCGAATCAAGGGCCATGCATGGAAGTTTCATCTATATCTTTTCTACTTGAAATTTTTTTTATGGCAAATGTGAGCTACCATAAATTGATGGTGGGCTACCATATGTTTCTTTGTATGGCTATGCCATATGCTGATTTATTCACTTTTGTGTTAATGAGATCTCTGTTGTACAATGTTAACATGCTTACATCTCCTCAAAACACTATAGGAGGAACTTCTATAAAATCAGTTGGGAGTTGACAGGCTCCCTCCATCCAAATATTTGCAGAAGAATAAGTAAAAGAACTGGATGGAACGTGTCACATACTGGGATGGCAGAATTCTAAGTGGTGAAATCTGACATGAAATACATGGTATGTAAAAGTAGATTAGTCAGGCACCAGACAGAAATCTGCCAATCCAAGAATTAAACTGATTCATTGCATTTTGTTGACAATAATATATATATATATATAAAAATAATCAAACCACACAAGCAGTTTCATAGTACATTCCAACACATCTCCGTTTTGGAGAATCCTGGGCTTATTTGTGGAAATTAGCAAGCAAGGGATTTGCTGGAAACCAGGTGCATCTCAAAGATTGTGTACTTGTTTTCTAAAGGGAGAGGGAGGGCATGTGAGCATTACTGCTTTTCAAGACTCCTACTACCTGCCAGTCTATAAAACACCATTTGCATCAATGATGTTGGCAATGTTGTCAGAGGAGGCTACCTAACCTGTCCTGTAAATGGATCAGATTGGGCCTGATCCAGTGCCCACTGAAGTCTTGCCATTGACTTCAATGAACATTGGATCAGGTCCTTAGCACTTTACATGTTCATACACATGCTGCACAAATGTGATCTAATGCATCCCCACAACACTCCCTTGAGATAGGTAAGTATTAATATCCCTGCTACACAGATGTGCAAAGTGAGGCAGAAAAATAAAGAGTCACTAATACAGCTAGAATTAGAACTCTGTCTCCTGACTCACAGCCATGTCTCAGACCCCCAAGCCATGCAGCATTCCATAAGAGAGAGGCTGTTTCAGTACTCACCATGAGAGGAAGTAAATAGAGAGGTTCAGTGGGGAGAAAGGCCTAAAGAGGATAGAGAATGGCAGTTGCTCTTAGTATTCTTATAGCTGGAGAGAAGTTGTTCAGATAAATAGAATTAAAATGGTTTCTACAGGCAAATCTACAAGGACACTTTTCTGTATCTGAAATGTTGTGGCATTAGACACAGTGTATGAACCTTATGCTAAACTTCACAACCAAGTTGATAATATACAGGCAAGTAGTAATTTTTCAAATTTTATAAGGTTCATTTTTCATGGTAAGAAAGAACAACAAGATGCCAGACAAGCCACTGATACATCCCTGAGAAGTAAAACCAAAGCCAGGGCTAACCTCTTAATCATTTGAAATTTGACTGAATTAAATTCTGTGTATTTCTATCAGATGCCACCAGTTTGTGTGCACCTTTTCCTCAGCAAGTGCCGCAAATGTCATTTATATAAACTGTCCTCTGGGTGGTGCTCTAATGCCAAGTTTCCGATATACTGCTTTTTTGCGTGGGAAAAAATATTCCATCCTACCAGGTAGCTTCTTTTCATCTAGAAATGACTAAATGGGCACGAGGAGTGGGGGTGAGGAATATAGATCTTGCTTTCTTTAAAGATTTGACATCAGGTCTATTAGGCCTAAATCTTCACTTGCTTTGAGAGTAGTTCTCAGAACCTAACTTCAGAATCCTCTCAAACATTGTGTAAGATAAATATATCAACCCAACCCATCTAAATTTTTCAAACTATACTCATCATGGTCAATCTGAAAAATCCAAGAATGACTGTGCAACTGATTGTAAACAAACTGCTAAACAAGTGGTGCAATGGGATTGTGTTTACAGTGAGTTTGCACCAACTTTGATGTTGATTTCACTGAGAACAGGATTGGGTGCCTCAATTTGGCTAGGGAGGAAGTTTAGTCTTGTGCATAAGGTACCAGACTGGGATCAGTTCCTGGTTCTGGCAGAGGCTCTCTGTGTAACCATAGGCAAGTCACTTAATTTCTCTGTGCCTCTGTTTCCCCATTTCTAAAATGGGAAAAATAATTCCCTACCTCTCAAGGGTGGTGAGAGGATAAATTCATGATTATATGCTGAGGTACTATACAAGCAGATGCATAGGAGAGTTTTAAAAATATTTTGTACTTAAAACCTAGTATGTTGTCTTCCAAAAAACGTTCAGGTTTGTCTGTGCCAATATGCCAGAAACATTGTTGATTGAAGCATAAATGTTTTAACTACATTAAAAAAAAAGTAATATCAGTACCTATCAGGCCCAAGTCAATTTAGCTAATTTTCTATATCATAAAAA